AAAAACAAAGCCTATGAAAATCTCATCGATCTTCGTTTTCTTCTCCTGTTGAGGATGTGATTAAGACAGCTCAGGATGTCTGAAATAAAAGCTGCTACGTCGTGCTTCACTAAAAGATGCAGCAGCGGGGTCATATATCCTTGAGCTTGACTTTCTCATCATAACTTGGGACAGTGATTAAGCTCTGGGGTCAGGAGATGAACGAGGAAAAATGACTTTGTCAAAACCAGGCAGACAGCAGGGCAGTGCCAAGGCTTATGCTAAAGCACTGCCACTCTTGAGAGTGGCAGGAAAAGAGCAAGGTTTTGTTCTCAAGGGGTACTTCAGTGCGGAAAGTGTCAACAGTACAAAAACATACAAATGCACCAATAGACACTCCAAAGTGTGCACACATAGAGACACATTGTACAAGAAACACACACATTAATCCAAGTGAAAGAGCTTCTGGCTGTTTGCATCTCAGCATCATCACAGTAATGTTAGAGTGCTAAAAGTAGAGACACACTGTCGACCATTTCACTCTCCCTCATAGAGCTGCAGACCTGGACATGTTAAACATAATGGAAGCAGCAGCTGCCATGCATTGGACATATGCATTTGGGGGGGAAAAGCAGAGAGCAGCAGAAACAGAAAACATAAAGCACAGGCAGAGAAAATTCAGGACAGTCAAAGAAAACAGAAAACTGTCCCTGTTTAAAAATAACAAACCCACCTATGGGAGTTTCCCCTTTTTGAAGGCGGGTGTTGGGAAGGAAATCATAAACAAAGGGTGAAATTAGGGGACCAGGACAGGGTGGGATGGGAAACACAAGAATACAACCCATAAAAGTATGTTAAAACACAGATGAGAAAGACTTAAAACAAAAATGCTAAACCACATGAATTCCACTTTTAGATTTACTTAGGAAACAAATTAGACATCTTCAATCTATACGCAAAGATTTAGGGGTTTTGCGGTGCTGATGTCTGCACATTTAAGTTCTTAAACTGGCACATGACATTACCACCCGATGTAATGTATTCCCCAGGCGTCGCTGGACATATTTGAATCCCTTTTTTCCCCACTCTTTTAGAAAAGTGCTATTGGCTGTTTTTACACAAAAAAAGAGTCTCTAATCGTACACAGAAACGACTGCAAAATATATTTATAGGCATACACTTCACTAAACCTGCCTGCTGTGTGATTTACTGTGCTTTCAGTTTATTTGTCCCTGTCTCTGTGGTCCATTATAGCACCTGGGTCTTTATGGAGGAGTGATTGTCTCTGAACAGCGGTGCAAAATGACTGATGAGCAGAGATGACAGACATGCATTTATAAGCTGCTTCTCTTCTGCTGCATTTGACTGTCAATTTTTAATAAGGCAAGGTGTTTAAGCTGCAAGGTCTCCAAATGTTCATTTCTGTGGTGGAAAGATAACATGTGCTTGGTGATAGATATGATTATGGAGAAGAACAACGTCCATGATATGAAGCTCAGCGAGCGGAGATTTGTGAGGCATTATGCCGTGTGAGATACCTTGTGATACGTCCTGTTCAAGTCATCCTCCAGTAATTGAATTACATAAACGGCGCAGATGAGCTTTGCAGTCGTCTCTGTAATGTTCAGGCAAACACAGATACACATGGTTACTCTTTAATTTCCAAAGCAAAGCCATTTCCTTTGCAGTGCTAAAACATGTCTAACACAATCATAATTAACTGTTCTCGCATGGAAACTCCAGATGGCTTACGTAATGCAAGAAAAACTAGCTTTGTGGTTCCGAGTGGGCTGATTTGTAACACACACACACACAACTGCCTCTTTTTTTGGGCCCAGCTCAGTTTGAAGTTGCCTTCTTACAAGCTTTTAAACAGGATTAGCACATTAGGAGGAAAGCAGCCTTTCACCATCCTGCTGGACCTGAGCCAATTTGTTTTCTGGCTCATCTAGTTTGAACGTTGACTAAAAGCATCTGTGTATTCTCGTAAGTGGACAATTAGTATGCTTTTAAGTTATATGAAATTAGATATTTCTATCTCCAAGATTTGTGAATTTCTTGTCCCCTTTTTTTCAATCACTTACTCAGATTTTAATCTGGTTTATCTTCCCAGCTATTCAAAGCAAATTTGATCAAACTGAATTTCTACTTTCTTTCCAGACATCCTGCCACAAACACTGTACACTGAAGACTGGATGTCCAGCCTAATGGACAGTGACGTCACCTTCCTTCCAGACTGCAATAAAGAGCGCTCCGGGATCTGCAACCTCTCTGACACCTGGGAATCCACAACCTCCTTGGACGTCAAGCCCACACAAAACACCAGTGCCACAAACCAATCAATCAGCCCCTTCCTGGTCCCAGCTCCACCCATGCTGGTGCCACTGTACACCGACTGGAACAATGCCATGGCAGCTTGGGGCCTGGCTTGGGATGCGCATGTTTATGGTGCTGGTTGTGCCTTTGCAATGCTAACGCTAGCCTCAGCGCTCAATCTGCTCTGCTTGCCGCTACGATGCCCATCCGGATGTGGCTACTTTGCCTTGGTCAGCCTGTTTCTGCTAGCTGCTGGCTGTACCAGATCGTTCTCGCTCCTGTACGATGCCTACGGCCACCAGGACCGCTTACCCTCCACAGAGGCCTCACTGATGCTCTACGAAGCACCTTTTCCCTGCTTGACTGCAGCTTTCGGTCTGGTTTTCCTTCTCCTCTCCATGCGCTCAAGAATGCAACTCTCCTACTCAGCCTTCCAAAGACCCTGTTTCCTGGCTTGCCTGGTTGTCCTGCACTTTGCTGCTGCATTCGGACCGGTGACCTTACTGAAGTTCTACCAACAGAAGCCTCCCCTTTGCCTCTTTCTTTCACTCATCTCCCGTGGAGCCTTTGTGGTACTGGCCACATTTCTGTCTGCTGCCTATTTTGTGTTCTACATCTATGTGAGGGCAGATTCGAAGCACATCTACCACCTGAATAACACGTCTCCAACACCTGCTGAGCGCTACAACCGCTGCCCCTTTGCTGAGAGCCGGGATTGGAGCCGTGCAGCTGTGACCGTCTGTCTTTCGGCATTGTTTCTTTTAGCATGTGCAGGACTGCAGTTATATGCAATGCTCAATGCTATGGGTGTTGCAGGTGGAGAGGAGGTCTTCCACCCTTGGCCATGGTGGGCTTTTCAGTTTAGTTGCAGACTGTGTGAGCTCGGGGTCTGTCTCACCTTAGCCTTGGTGGTTGCACAACCAGTCTACTGTTCTGATCACCTCCCAGCTGCAGGGAGCTGCTGGACTGAACTGTTGGCGTCCAAGTCACCCATCCTGCCTGGGAGCTACCAGTGGACCCTAAGCCAGCATGAGAAGCTCGCCATAGTCGATACCGTTGGACTTGGAGAGACAGAGAGCCTTCCTCTTTACACTCTGATGGATGAGAGGATTGGAAGCAGTCTGAACGGCCTAGACCTCCTCTACCACAGCAACCGGGCCTTGGCGTACCGAGACCTGGACTTGGATTTGGACTTGCAGGGTTCAGAAAAACCTGAGGATGGAGGAGGTGGAGAGCCCTCAGGTGGATCCTCGTTTACCAGTGACTCCACCACAGACCTGAGGCCACCTTCGCCCATCAACCTGCGTCGCAGCATAGACGAGGCACTCTTCAGTGAGGCCCTCTTTCCCATGAGCCTTTTTAGCCCTGCTAGGCCTATTCGCTGCAGTGATCTATCCATCAACAACCACTCTGCACTTCCTAGCAACGGCCTCTGTGATCCTCTCTCAGCTGACCCTGGCCTTTATCGGACCTCTTCCTGCGTGGAGATGACCTCTCAACCCCAACCCCCTTCCGCCCAATCTCAAGGAGACACTGTTATAGGTGCTCCACCATCTCCCTCCCTGTCCTCTTCCTCCAGCTGTTCATCTCCTGAACGCTGGAGGGGCAGCTCTTCCTCCTGTTCCCTCTACAGAGCCTCTCTTGAAGGCTCATCGTTGGTCCTCTGCCCGAGCCCAGAGAGACATGCTCATCAGCTTCTTCAGCAAGGGGGAACGGGCCACGGGGTGACCTCCGGCCACCAAGGCCATGCTGATCCACAGAGGCACTATCATGCACTGGGCACGGCCTCACAGGAGAGCCTGGACCTGGACATGTCGTCTGAGGCAGACCGATCTGTGCAAGAAGAGTTCATCAGCGTTTGCAGACAAATCGATGCGTTGAGCATCTGCAGCGAGACTATTGATTTATAAAAGGCCAATCTGGTCAAACTTGTGTTAACACTGACAACTTATCAAGATGGGTATCTGCTTTGTGTGGCAAGTTGGCGGTCAAGGTTTTTTTACAGCCCATTTGGTAGTGCATGGTAGCATTTGCATACACCATAAAATACTTATAGCTGCCAAAATAAAGTTTTTTGGAGGTTTGATGAGCTTTCTTATGCGGTCATTAGCAAATGTCTGTGAGGGTCTAAGTGCCAAGAATGTCAAAAGCCAAAAGGTAATTTGTAACTTTTACATGTTTGATAAAGGCTGGTGAAGTTTGATGTAGTCAAAAGAATAGTAACATTTTAGTGAGTGGCGATAACAGGAATATATTTGTACAAATGTTTTTATTGCATTCCAACATTCCAATAGATAGTACTGTGACTGAATTAAGCACTTATTAACTACTACTGAAGTCATACCCTTTCAAACTCAGCAGAATATCATTAAATCTCAAAAAATGGGATTAAAATTAAAGTTTGTCAAACTAAACTCTCCATATCAATATGCAACACATGTTATGTGCAGTTATTGCGCAACACTGCCCTCTACTGATAAAATGCACACTGTTACCTTATCCTCCTACATTTTTCAACAATGGATTGTGCTTCTGCATACACAGAGTGACCAGCTTACTAATTTATTTATGTTAAGACATAACTCTGCTCAACCTATTGTCTAATAAAGTTTGTTTTATAACATCTGGTTTCTTTTACTTAAGGGTCAAAGTGACATCCAGCAATATGACTTTGCAGCTCACGCTCAATAATAAAGTAGTCCATAAACAGTTTGATTTATTTATTCTTCACCATATTGAACAGCAAAAGCAACTTTCATCTGTTGAGTGTTTTACTGTAAACATGTTTTAAAGTGATATTTCTCAAACCCCCTGATGAACTTATTGAATACTGAGTCTTTTTTGTGCATCTGAAAAGCTTTTACTTATTGTTTTGGTTGATAATAAAAGATGCTACCACTGTATTCTGGCAGCGGCTTTGCTGATGTGATATACTGAAGTTGAAAACCATTATAACCTGTAAACCCAATATCTCACTTAATTCTATATTCGTGCTTTTTAGATCACCAACATGACTCAGTACTTTGCAAAAAAAAAAAAAACAATTTAGAAAACTGAACTCTCTCTTTAGATGGGAAACTGAAAACAAGCAGCCGTCATTTCCAACTGAAAATAGGTATATATATTTTGGTATACATTTTCTTGCGAATTAGTCCAATTGCAAGGCATTTGTTAGTCAAGTGAACCTTGTGCAGGGTAAATTATATTAGCACATCACAGAAAGCAACTCAACTCTCACAATCTGGGACATTTTATTAAAAAAAAAGAAAAAGAAAAAAGACACCTGGCCAAATGGACATCCAGTATGAAAATGTTACAAACGCCTACATAGCTGAATAATAATAATAATAATAAACATGGTGATACTGTTTCTAAAGTAAGAAAAGGATGTGAGAGGGTGTGTGGCACAACGCATTTTCTCTGAGCTATATCATCTGCAGCCTTAATTAATCAATCCCCGTTTCAAGGCATATCTCTGGTAAAACGAAACAAATAAAATAAACCTATCAAAGAGAACCTATGCCACACTGACAACGCAGGAATGGACAAATCACAAGGTAAGAATCAACTTGTTGCGCTAATTTTGGTTTTGAAGTTACAAAAGAAGTGTCACAAGGAAGTGCGAATACATTTGGCAGTACGTATGCAATTACAATAAAGCAGAATATAAATACAGCCATGTTTGGCTTTGTGAAAAAACAAACATGCATATCAAAAAAACTTGCTCATACTCAATGCAAAGCCCTCAACACTATACAGGTTTAATATACAGTTTGTTTTATCTAAAATTACTCAAATTACGGGCAGAGAAATTGTCCTTCTCATCACAAACTATTTTTGATTCACTTCAGCTTTTGGTCCTTTCCATGCTCCATGAACACTATGCACTGAGATGGGAGACTGATAATTTGGCTCAAGATGTCTTCGAAGGGAAAAGGGAAAATTAATGTCCACAGCGGTGCAGACTGAGGGTCTGGGTTTAGTCTACTGATTGTAGGTGACACTGGAGGACACAAAGTCAACAGGATAATCGCCATAGCCAATACCTCATACCTCAGGATCCACAATACAATAGTGGTGAAAGATAAGCAGCTACTATTCATTAAGTTGCTTGTGCCTGTGAGGACTTGAAAATGCAATGCAAGATTGAGAATGATACACTGCTGAGAGACGAGTGTTTTGTCTTATTTTATGCATGTATATACTAGTGTGTTTAAGAAATGGAATGCGAGATGCTTCTGATGGCGAGCGTGCTGGTAAACGTGGATCCCAAAAAAGCCCCAAAAGATGCTGATGGGATCTGCACCACGGCTGCTTTAGACTCCTTAATATTAACAGAATGAACATAGCGCACCTTCACTTTTGTTGTCCTTTTAAAATACACACACACACACACACACACAGTTCATTCTCTCGCTACTATTGACACGCAAAAGTGGGATCGACTGCATACTCAAGATACAGATAAATATGTCATTCTGAAAACCCTGATGCGCTGCTTCTTGAGTGCAAAATCCCAGGTGTTCCAGAGAGTTGGGTGTCAGTCTGGAGATAATCACTTCGCTACGATGCCTCTCTTCTCCCCAAAGCAGCTGGCTTGGATCAGAGAGAAAGAATGATGGGGAATATGATGCAGGGGGGAATAGAGAGGGTGTAGTGAGTGGTGTGCATGTTCAGCAGAAGTGGCAATTTAATATTTGGTCACTGTTGGATTAGGCATGTCGCGTGCACTGCTGATCTGCACTCCATTCACCCGTTCAGTAGAGCCGCTTCTCGTAACTGTGGAGGCAGAGAACAATGGGAAAGAAATGAGCACTTGCTCATTGTGTAAGTTAGTATTGCAGCTACAACTATGCTAACTTACTTTAATTCACAGCTAAATCGCATTTGCACAAAACTAACTATGGGTCATGCGGACACAAAGTCTGGGGACCAAGGGAAATTAGTATTTGTCCTTTTTGGATAAAGCATTAATGATATAATCTTGCTGCTAGTCAAGCTTATAATAATAATAATAATAATAATAATAATACCCAATACTCTTTGCTGCATTGTCATTTCTTCCTTGTAACTACAGAACAGGTTAATATTCCATTGCAGTGTTTGCTAATGTCAACACCTAACAGGGATATTGGTGCCAAGCTGTTTCTTAGCAACGTCATGATGAAATCTATGAATAGTCAACAAAGAAACCACAGTTCAGCGTTTCCATTCCTGTTTCTGGTAGAAGACATATCCTGCTCTCACTGTGAAAACAGATGTGTTTCTGCCTCTACAACTCAGTTCAACTTTCTTTTGGGTGCTTAGTTATTTGCAACTGGTAACAAAAAATGTTGAATAATATTAATTTCAATTATTTGTGCATGATCCTACAGTGGACAAATAATGGCTAGTGAAACAAAATATCACATGTTTGGTTTACCAGAAGTATCCAGATGTATAACTTAATGCAGCAAAGACGTTTGTGTGTGTGTGTTTTTGCACTTACGAGTGGAGTCCATGAACTCCTCCCTCAACCTGTGCAGACATGGTCCTCTTTTCAAACTTCAGCTCTCCAGAGTACATCATGGAACTAAGGAAGGTAGAAACATTGTAAAATATAACACACATTTACATTTATTATTTAGCTGACGCATTTATCCAAAGCGACTTACAATTGCAATACACGCCAGAGGTTGCAAGTGTCTTGCTTAGGGACACAATGGTGGATGTGTCACAGCGGAGAACTGAACCCAGGTCTCTCAAAACAAAGGCGGGCTTCTTATCCACTGCGCCATCACCACCCCCCGGTCGTAAAAGCTAACGTCTCTATTATTCACCAGTAATACACCCACACAACTCACCGGAGTACAGAAAGACTCTTTGCCCCGATGTCCTGGCAGCCGTGCTGGATACCAGCAATCAGGTAAGGTACAAACTTATGGATGGAGCCCTTGTCCTGGACCGAGCCTGACACACCCTGGGCTACCTTCACCTTGTCGCCCTCACTGTGGAAAGACATCAAATCAATATTCTGCCAATGGAAGCACAGTATTGTTCTAGCTGCTTTTGTAATTTGGCTTTTCGCTTCCTTTTGCCACCCACATACCTAAAATAGCGTTTCTGGCTGCTGGTGCTCTTCTCCATAGCGTCCAGGGAGCCCATACCACGGTACTTTTTCAGCCGCACACCATCTGAGAAGAAGTACTCTCCTGGAGCCTCAGTGGTTGCTGCTAGCAACGAGCCCATCATAACTGCAGTGGGAGACAGGACAGACTTATCTTTGTTCTTGTATCACCCAATCTAACCTCCTCACTGCTGTGATAAACAGCTTCTTTGATATGAAGACTGGATTTTTGTGAGATTAACAAGCTGTATGAAATGATGATTAGATATTTCACCATGTTAGAACATTTTCTATGTCTTATTCTTTGAAATCTCACCCGTCGATGCGCCAAGAGACAGAGCCTTTACCACATGGCCCACGGTCTGAATGCCACCGTCAGCGATGACCGGCACGCCGAAGCGCCTGGCGTACTCTGCCACCTTGTACACCGAGGTCCCTTGGGGCCGCCCACATGCCATGACTAGAAGGTAGAAAACGTATTTGACATGACTGCCATAAAAAGGTATCCGGCAGGAAACAGGTAAATCAGACTAGACCGTGGGACAAACAGGAACCAGCTTATCAAATAAAAAGCGGTAACGCAGATAGAGTTCATGTCCTTAGAGAACGTGACCCAGTCTGAACATATGTATGTTTTCACTGTAGCTCAGAGACAAATTAAGAACCGGTACTGATGTACAGCTTAAGATTCATGCTTCCATTAAAATTAAATTCCATTTCTGCTTTTCTGGTGCTCCGATATTATCAGAAAGAGAAAATATGTTACACCATATTCAGGAGATGGCATTGAAAAACAAGGCTGAGTACCTTCCTGTGTGATGCAGATGGAGCCGCAGCCCATGCCGACTCTCAGAGCATCGACCCCAGCATCGATCAGATTCTTGGCCTGGGCTGCTGTAACCACTGTAGGTGAGGGGAAAGTATATAAATGGTCAGTAAATGTGTGCAAACTTTTAAGATTTTATTTACATAATAAGAAAGCTAGCTATAAGGGAGTGCTATGTGTATAAAATCTAATTAAGTGAGGCAACAGCAGCACTTTTAAGAGTTTTCTTTTTGTAAACAAACTCACCATTTCCACCCACCACTTGCAATTCTGGATACTTCTGTTTAATATAACTTATCATGTTGATCTGATACACCGAGTTGCCTTGTGAAGAGTCCTGGAGACGCAAGAACATTCATGATTTAGTACAATGGCCTTGGACCTGAAGATTCAGCAATACAGGCTAAGATAGTGTGCCTATTAAATATTAAGACATTTCACACACTTATTAAATTTAGACTTTGTTTCTCCAACTAAGTTAGGGAATTTTCACCATATTTGATCCACGGTGCGATTATTTCTACTGCTGGTCTTTCACAACACACTCCCACACTACTTCTTCATCAGAGGAACTGATCACAAACGGTTTCATGTATTTTTAGGCAACCTTTGCTCACATGTTCAAAGCCTCACACTTTTATGAAAGACTGGTACCAGTGATAAGATATGCTGTACAATAACCACAATTTAACCATCAACACCACCCACCAGTACGACAACATCCACCCCAGCCTGCACTAACAGATCCAGTCTGTATTTGTCATCCTCCCTGGTGCCGACGGCGGCGCCACACAGCAGCTGTTTGCGCGAGTCTTTGGAGGCCAGTGGGTAGTCCCTGTTCTTCTTCAGATCGGTCCTGGCAATGATGGCCACCAGCTCGTCGTTATTATTTACAATGGGAAGCTTGCCTGGTTACAGAGAAAGTGAGGTTATCGAATTATCTGAGAAACCAAAATAGAACTAGAGAAAAAAAAAGCCGCTGTCACACATGAGCTTTTATTCACCTTTTTTACTGCGCTGCAGAATATCATTGGCTTCTTTCAGAGTGACACCTGCTGGAGCCACAACCAACTCCTCCCTCTTTGTCATGGCCTTAGATACAACCAACATAATTTCAAAATCAAAATAATAAAATATGTGACAAACTTTAACTGACTGACATACAGTTTCTGAAAACTGTACATACCTCCTCCAGAGGTCTGCCGTGGTCTTTTTCAGAAAGGAAGTCGATATCTCTGGAGGTGACGATGCCCACCAGTTTGCTGCCCATTTTGCCCGTCTCTGTGACAGGAATACCAGAGAAGCCATGTCTTACTTTGGCCTCAAACACATCCCCAACTGTGTGGCGAGGACTCATCACAACTGGGTCAGTGATAAATCCCTGCTCAAACCTCTGGAAACCAAGAGAAACCAAACTCATTAATATTATTGTTGTTTATTTATCTTAATGTGTGCAAAGCAGAAAAGGTAGCGCAAAACCAAACACAACTCACAGGACATACAACCATAAATAAATAAATGAAATGCCAAAACAAATACAACCAAACAAAACACAAACACACGATGGAGTACAATTACCATAACCTATATAGGGACAAGAGAACAAGAAAGGTCAAGGGTATGATTCATGTGAGAGTTGAGTTGGTTATGGTTACTTCTTTAGTCCTTTTTGGTGTGTATGAGCATGTAAGTGGGAAATGGTGATGACTACAACAAGACTACTAAAACAATACATTATTCTACTAAAGCTACTAAAACCAAACACGATAAGTGAACATTTGACTTAACTAAAAAATGCTGAGACAGTTTAAGATAAAATACAAACTCCTGTACATAATGAAGGATGATCATAGTTTACCTTGACCTTGCGGACCTCATTGGCTTGGAATTCTGGTGTGCAGTTGTGGTGAATGATGCCAATACCTCCCATTAGCTGCCAAATTAAAAATAAATAAAAAAAAAGGAATAACATTGCGTATCTAAGAATCAAGAAATCAATGCGCTCTCTCTCTCTCTCTCAATATTCCAGCCGTTTTGTAAAAGCAGTGTCTTACCGCCATAGCAATCGCCATGGCTGACTCTGTGACAGTGTCCATGGGGGAGGAGATGAGAGGGGTCTTCAATGTGATCTTCCTGGTCAACGCTGAGGTCAGGTCCTGAGAGAGAAAAAAAAAAAAAAAAGGAGGGAATTTTGCACATGAACCACCAGGGGGCAGATTAAACCTGGCACATGCAATCCACTGCACATGTTGCATTGACACAAAAGACTACAGGCCAATGGGGCCAATTTCAGTAGACTTCCAAAAAGATTATACAAGTGTCCTTCTGTGATATGAGAGGTCTGCAAACAAAATAAAATGTATGGATACCAAAAACACAGTGCCTCCTCTCAGGGACAGAAATCTAACATGGTGTGGAAATATGGAAATGAGCCCCACTACTGTATATTTACATTATACACAGGCTGTATGTGGCTGTAGTACAACAGCCACATTCAACTGTCAAAGCTTACGGATTCCCACAACAGCCAGCACCAGATTTTGTTATCTTCAGCTGTGTGTGTCTGAAAATAATGACATTCCACACACATGGGAAACCAGCAAATGAGTTCTATGGTGTCCAAGATTTTCCTCCTTATCTGAGACAGACATAAACTTGGGAGGCTTTTCTCAGCGGTTCACGGTGAAGGTAAAAGTAATCAACACCACTTCTCAATTTAGGCAGCACAACTGCACTAACCTGCTAAATTCAACTGAGAGTTGGGAAAGAACGTCAACAACATCACAAGCCTGAATTTCCCACAACTGTTCTACGCACTGTGGCCCCTCTTCATGTTTCTAATGGATTGCACAAAAGCCAGAACATATATTACAAATTTGAGTCCGATTTACTGAGTCACTGTGTGAACTACTGCATTCACAGTTGTGACTGAGGCCAAATGTGGAAGCATTTGTGTTATTCAAGCTTGAATAGGCCCAGTATCCAGTGGAAAAACTATGGCGAGACCAAGACTCTGTGGAGACAACTAACCCATGACAACGTGGCGAGGCAGCCAAGCATCTCACACAGCAACAAGAGCATTCTTTAAATCTGAAGGCAACACGGAGAGATAAGAGATATCAATTAAATTAAAGCCTTCTCAGATGGACGAAGCAGAGAAGAGGGATTTCATCTAAAGCCCGGAGATTAACTCTCCTGTCAGCTGCTGAGAGGGGTGCATGAGCAACCGACCAGACACAAATGTAAACACAAGAGTGAGGGAGCAGCCAGTGGGTGACCACAATGGGTAAAAATAGCGAGGCGGCAGAGAGAGAAGAAATGATGCAGACGGTTTTAAATGGGCAAAAAAACCCAAGACTTTTTGTAAAAGCCAAGACTATAAAATGGAGGTTGAGGTCTGGAGTGAAGTGAAAAAAAAGTAATAAGGCTGATGGTTTACAAAGTGGCTCTGCAAAGAACAGTCTGCTGACACTGCTTAGTTGTACGTTAATCATCATGAGGGGGTGTTGAAGAAACTGTAGCAATGATTGGCTTGTCCTTGAAAATATCCAGTTGTGACAGTTACTTGCAACAATCTCCTGAAACACTGCATACACAGACCCTGCATGACCTTGTGTACTCTCAAATATGTCTGTCACACATATACGTACTCACCACTTCATCTGAGGTAAAGTCGATAAAGCCAGGTAAAATCAGGAAATCACTGAAAGACATAAACAAAATGCAAAGTAAGAGGCTATTGCAACTTAGCAGAGCGGTTTAAAGCGCCCATACACGCTGCATCAAAACAGAAGATAAAAGGTCTCCTCATGTTTAAACCAATATGAATGACCAATAGTTGTAATAAATTCTGGAAAATATCTCCAAGCAATGCAAAGGACTGAAAATGTGTTCCTACATTAACAGTAGCTCACTGTAAACAAGGTGAATTGAAAAGCAATCAAATCTGAGTACAACTGAACAAGATTGTGTTATAAAACTGATAACTGGGTAAACACGGATAAGATCATATCAAAATCAAAAGAATGTCAATTAACCTTTGAATTCAATATTTGTTAGACCTTAAAATCTCTTTCTACTCATTTCCTTCTGGTAAAATATTTCAACTAGGCAATGCCACATTTATTGTTAGTTACTCTTACGTCTCTCCATGGTTCCCAAATTATTACCAAATGGCTGAGTACAGAGTGTAGCTAGGTGCGTCCTGTACTTGTTAAGAATCTACAGTGGACCTCTTTCGGCTCTTGGCCTGTATACACAAGATGAGATGAGTCAGGGAGCGAGAGCTAGACACAGGAATGGTGTTTATTTTTCCAACCAGAATCTGTATGTATTTTGTGGTTTTTACAGATGGGTGTAAAAACAGGCAGGGGAGAGATGGAAAGATGGAGGAATAAGGGAAGCTTTGTATGCCACATGGATGTTAGAGAAAACTGGAGGGGAAACTGTAGAGGGAGAGTATGTACATTAGGCAGATGGCGAGCAGTACAGGTGGACATAACCACGTCTAAATGAGAGTTAAGAATGAAGGTAGAGAGCTGACCTGCTAACAGATCTCTGCTGCCTCAGTGTAGGCGGGGAAAAGGAAGGTCACACTAGATGAGACGCTGCAAGAGAGGAGTCCTGTGTCCCCCCCAATTACGTTAGAGCCCAAACACCCACAAACATCAACGTAGGGACAAGCAGGAAGTCCAGCAGACAGCTGCTAGCATTTAGCAGCAGCCACAAACCTCAGCTCCAGTACAGAGGGTGCACTTACTGACTCAGGTCCAGCACTACACAAGAATTCATTGTGTTGGCTTTGAATTGTAAAAACACTGGCTTGGTGATGCCTTATGGTTTTCATGTTAAATGTAGACAAATGCCTAACGTTGAGCGGGGAATGTTTCAAAGTACAACCAAAACCACAACTGGTCTTGCCCTGCTTGTGCAGATTCCTATACTTAACATACCTAACATCTTTGTGTCTGACTCACATCACTGTTTTTGGTTCATGTGAAAAGACACTACCAGGTTATTTCACTACAGTTACGTCCAGGAATTTATTTGCTACCTTAGCTCTGTCTTTAGTGTAACATCAATGTGCTCTCACCTTCGAGGCAATGGAATGTGGTTCATATTAAATTATGATTAAAAGGGTAGTTTCAGGTTTGCCAAGTAACTTGCCCTTAAGCGTTAGGAGGTATGAAACATTTTATGGTATTGTGTATGAAATACAGTTCATCACGTTGCCTCATAATGTGTAGTTAACAGCTAAAAAGTCATATTCACCGTCTCTTGACAAACTTTCTTCACCTGGTTGAAGGTCACAATACTGCAGGAAGCCGTTACTCTCACAAAGCTGTTGGTGCCTTCCTGTGTCTGTATCTCACCTTCTCTGGGTAGGTGGCTATTTTCTTTTCCCTCCAACCAGTAAACCAACATAAAACTAAATAGATCAACCAGCAAAATCCTGCTTGATTGTATTCTTAGACCCAGCACAAGTTAAACGCACTGGTAAGTGTTGATGAAGTCATTGGGGGCGCTCAGATTTATATCAGAAGATGTGGAGGGAAGTTGAATTTTTTAATTTGCATCAAAGAAAGCTTCAAGTACAAGTTAAAACCCTAACACTATTATCTGTATTTGTCACACGGCTTGAAAAGAGTGATGCAGACTCAATCCTGAAACCAACCCCATCCAGCTAAATTCCCCCTGCAACCCACATGATGTCGGTTCAGGAGATCATGTGCAAAAACTTTCCTTTGGTCGTGACGCGCCTCATTACAGGTCATTCAATCACACGCGGACACTCAAACACAATTACGTTTTCTATTCAATTAGATTCTGTAAAGCAGGAGTAGCAGGATTAGAGCAAAGAACTGGTTGATTTTAAGCTGATAAATCATTCCAACTTAGGTTGAAGTACTTACATAAAATACTTTGTGCAGATGATGATGCAGTGGACAATAATCTACCATTTATATCATATAGAATAATACATACGGCTGGACCATATGGCCAAAAATGTTACCACGATAAAATGTTTCATATCTTTCGATATCGATAACTATCACTATAAGTGTCAAATCGTTACTTCTTTCAAGTTTACAGGCTGATTTTTGCTCCTGAGTGAAAGTTGAAAAAACCTGATGGTTAATTGTAGTTTAAACTCTTTATGGTCAACACTTGATGCCAAACAGTCGATCACTTCACAAATCTGAGGTATAACATTCAAAACAATTATAATGAAATCTTTGTCAACAAATATGCATGAGTAAAATTAAGTAAAAGCTTTTTTCAGTCCTTTTTCTTCAACAAATTAACATCTTAATTTAAAAAAAATCCTGTAATTTGTGTATGATTTAGGTGAATAAAATCAAACATTTGTTATATTGTTACAGAAAAAAGATTATATTGTGATAATTATTGTTACTGTTTTATTTTCCAGCCCAAATAATACATGAACCAATCGTCTTTCAGGGAGTGCTGAGGGGGCATCTTAAACATTAATTGCAGTGTCAAACATATTCAAGAGGTAAAGCACTACTGGACTTTGAGGTTTTACAAGCAAAAATGCAAGTTAAGAGGAAATTACATGCTTCGTGTAAGTGTCCAACAACCACTCCAATTCAGTTGCACAAAACTTTGCTTCTTGTTATTCATGATTAAAGATGTAAAAGGGCAATCAAAAGAAAAACATTTCTGTTAAAATGCACCATGAGTTCAAATACAAAGCATTACTTGTTTGCCACCAGAATTCTTACCAGAGCTGATTGTAGTTAACTAAGAGGTGACAAATTATTGCTTAATCAGTAGTTTTATTAGAGATGCACCGATTCCACTTTCTTATTTATTTAATTTTTTTTTTCTTTAAAGTCGGACCTAAAGGTTCCACTTAATTGTAAGTTCATAATAAAACAATGACTATAAAATGACTTTTACATTTTCTCCATAACTGCATGTGATCCAGGTTAGGATACTGAGCAGAGCATTTTTTAACAAATCTAACTATAAATGAATTGCAACATAACACTCAGTGTTTCCCCAGTCTAACTGTGGTGCTGGTGGTGGTATATTTTATTTCAAAGAATATACTATCCTTTTCAAGTAGGTAATTTCTTACCTCACCATTTCAATTCTACTTAATTCTCCACCTTATTTTAGTGTTTTCTCACAAACTACTTGCACAGTACATGCACACACCTTCCTCCCTGTATGTGCCTGCTGTGTTGACTCTCTTCATCAGGTTTTATAAAGTCAACCAAAAGACACAACTCGCATTTGGGACTTTTTCACCCACAATTACGTTTTCACAAGGTGAATTAATTGTGGACTCCTCCACATGCAGGTGAGTTGTGTGGGGAGGAGGCTAGTTGTTAATGTCACCTATCGAAACGATCAAGACCAATGTGGAACTGAATGACATCGGCACCAACAGGTGTGTTCTCTGCTCGTGCTTGTAATATATCCGCTGAGTCTTCTAACGTAATACCAGAAAACGTGTCTCTCTTTGTTTCTCTGCAAAGTGATAAAATGGGTCACCAAAAAGAGCGTACTGTGACTACCATTAATATCCCTAGGCAGTCCGCCCGAGTAAAGTCTGTGTGGAGAAAACGCGGCTTATTCTGGCCTTAGATATTACCAATTGCGAGCATACTGATGACAAGTTTTAATGTGTCAGGCTGTGACAATAGTCAGTTACTGTCTGTGCTGCTGTGTGCATGACGTGAATCATCATACGTTGCAGTATATAGGTATATTTGACCAGCACAGGATCAGATATGCGACACTTACCAACCCGGGATACTGTGCCAATTCCAGTTACCAGCCGATCGATCGGTGCATCTCTAAGTTTTATCAAAGCTAAATATTTGTAAAAGAAAGAAGAATAAAAAAAATTTAAAAAAAAGGGGCTGTGAACTGATCTATCGCGCATGCTGCATTCACTGAACGGGTCGTGCGCTATGATGATTAGTTGAAGTAAATAATGCAATTATGTCTACTGGAAGCAAATTTGATCCCCATGACCAAGATCAGGTTGATCAGTGCAACAAGCCTTCCATTTATCTTCTGCAATCATGCACTTTCATGACACCAGACTGAGATTTTGGCATGGTTTGTTTCAGTCAAGGTAAAGGTGCTTTAAAGGTGCGTTAATTTGCTTCCTCCGTATGAATTCACTATTTGGAGGGACAGGATTTTTAAAAGCACAGTTTCAAAACAGTTTGAAGAGGACTGTTTTACTCACTTGTAAGTCAACCCATCTCCTTTAGAGCATAGCTCTTCAGCCGTATGACCATCGGAGACAACGCACGGTTGGTCAGATCTGCTGGTTCAAAATGTGTTGGCCATTACAAAGCACTGCTGCGTACATGTCAACCACCACTGCGCGAAGGTGAGGTTTCAAAAATTAGGATACCTTACTTTGAATAAATTTAATTACTTATGTTTGTCCGAAAATCTTATTTATCAAAGTTTGTGATGCAGGGAAACTTACTTGTATGTAAGGCCATCTCCGATCGAGAAGAGCTGCTGAGCTGAGAGCCCATCTTCAGGGACATAGCCTGTACCACCACTGATTAAGAAATCCGCCATGCTGTAAAATGATAAGGAAAGGCAACTTCAGTCAACTGTAACACTACAACATCAACATTCTCCAGGCAGCATTAAGTCAGTGGCCTGCGTGGCAGGTACAAGATGAAAACAGGTTCCTCTGTTTACAAAAACAGTCCATTAATAAACAAATAATAAACTTGTAACAAAGTTATAGACTTTTAAAGAGACATTATTTTACTACAAGTCAAAACTACCATTAAGTAACATTAGGTCACAAAAACTCGTCATAGAAGTCATACTGTGATGTTCTGGGAAACAAACGGAACGTACTGGTCTAACGTTTATAATTTAACCACATGGAACAAAGACCGATCGTAAATATTAGTTAAATATGGTGGCCCAAGAAATACACAATATTCTCTCGACTTGAGCGGTAAAGTCTAGTTACTCGCCTGGTGACCTACATCAAATTATCATTAGCTGCTTGCACCTGTAGTGCTAAATACTATGCTATAATGCAGCAACACAGCATCCTTGCTGCTGATCATTCATGCTCCATTATCCATGCTAGTATCCATGTTAGACCACAACTCTCTCTTGCCTCAGTCCATACCTGGCAAACCATCACTGATTTAGAAACTGACATATCAACCAAGCAGTAAAAGTTGCCATTTTATTACAATAACTGATCATTTGAGAGCCGAATGCATGCCGAATTGACGAGTGCCTCTATTTAGATAGTATATGATCTAGGGCTGGGCAATTTAACACGTAATTATTGCGGTAACGCATTAATTAAGTAACGCCGACAATTATTTTATCGCACGTTAACGCAGTTATTATTATTATTTTGAAAGTCTGTTTCTCACTGGCTCTGAATACACATACAGTCAAAGCATGGGTCACAGGAGGGGTAGGATGTTGATCAGCCTGCATATCACCCACCCAATCAAGCAGCGGAGGGAGGCTTCGGCAGAATACGCTGGATGCAGCGTGTGGAAGAAGTAGATATACAAAAGCAAGACAAGCCAACAAATGCCATAGCTTTAGTGGATAGCTACACACTGCATGCTGATAAGTATTGGGGAAGATGTCGGCCTCTCTCCGCTGCTTGTTTGGTTGGGTGATTTGCAATTACAACAATAATACTATAAACTGTGTTAACGTGCGCTAAAATTGTCTGCGTTAATTAATTCATGCGTTACGTAACATGCCCAGCCCTACTACTTAGTAAACAGTAATAGATTCTGCAAACTCACAAACAGCGAGAATTGATTTGTACTGCGCGGCACGTACAAAAAGTTCAAGACAATTCAACTTTGGCAGCGGGCGGGCGTGTGCGTGATGCGACCACTTCATCTCACTCTAACAGAGACACTTGCTACTGAACATAAACTGTTTAGTAAGTTGAGATTTACAATAAGTATTTTATTGCTACTGTGTTAAAGGTAACCTGCTGGTAAAAAAGCCCTTATTTGTTTAAAGTGTTTGCAAACCACATTTTATTCTACTTTTGTGTATATAGCAGTACATTTAAATTAAAATGCGCAATACACTACTTTAGAATTCATTATTCAATTTTGCGCATAACAATGCGATTAATCATTGCCCAGCACTAATATGATCTAAAATATTTTTCTACCCAATATAACGCATTTTGAGAAAAGAGGAAACAATAGTTTTAAAGTTAGTTTGGAGTTGCCTTTAGGCATAAGTCAGGTTTCATGCCAGTTTTGACTAACGTTATATCCAACATTTTCAGGCATGCGAAGGTTAACCTTCATTAAATTAAATACATACCATGAAATGAACATTCACAGTATTAGTCCAACGTTAGGGTGATAATACCTGTAGACAGATCACATGTCTCTGCATCTAAAACACTGAACTATTATTTTTTAAAACATAAAATTGAGCGCACAAAGCAAATGACAACAGTGCTGTAACTTTCCCCACACGACTGCATGCGAAGGTGAAGTTAGTTTAACATTTGACTTTCGCCGGTTTTCGTGGCTGTTAACATCTCAATTTCTTCTAATTTTGGGATATGTTGGAGAGCTAATTTAGGCAGACAGTTTTGATCCACTGATAATCACCAAAAATGTCAATTCAGCTGAGAGTGCAAAAAACTGAATGTCTGTCCTATGCACCTGTCGCTACAGTTAGAGGCCTTCTCAGGAAATCCCTTAACACCATTATCAGTGACATACTGCCTAAACACAAATATTCATATTTTAGGCAATAGGTCAGTGATAAAGGTTTTAAGGAATTTCCTTAGTGCTTTTCACAAACAGACAGGTGTGAAAGTTGCAAGATGTCCAAGACACATGAGCTGGTTTGATGTCAACATATAGATAAATGAGCAAACTATTGAAATTACTACTTTGCAAATGGGCATAATTAAGGAAATATAGTTGTTCTTCTTTTGTTTGTACAAACTCACAGGTATGAGATGTTTAATGGTGATCACTCTCTATGAAAGGCAGTGTTTTGAAATTTTTACGTTGAAAAACAAAACAAAAGTTATTAAAGATTGAAATAGATCTTATTGCACTTTTAAGATGGTCCCTATCCCCGCCTATAGTGGCAGGCGATTGGACAGAAATTAATTTGTGTGTGCTCTCAACTGCATCATTTATGGTGACTTTGAGTTGATCAAAGCAAAGCTCAAACATATACCAAATCTGGGAGAAATCTAGGCTTTGACAAGGAGCTACTGAAACGTTAACAGAAAACCGAATGTCAAACTTCACCCCGGACGACCGCATGTGAAGCAAAATTTGGCAGGGTGACTCACTAACATTTAACTGAACCATTACTACACGCTTTCAATTTTAAAAAGGTGAATCACGTAAAAGCATCTAAAATGAAAAAGGAGTCCAAATAATAACACAATATTCTCAGCTTACTGAGCCGACTTAAGCCGTAAAGTTACTGGCCTGGTGACCTACATTACAATATCAGTAGCTAGCAAACAGTAGCTTGCTTGCACATCACACCCGTAGTGCTAAAAATAAGCTAACGTTACTTCAGAACTGTCTTTATTGTTTATACAGTAAAGCGATAAAGCAGCATCCTTGCTGCTACTGATCCGTGTTACATTGACCATGCTAGCATCCATGTTAGGCCGCATCTTTCTTTCTCCTCAGTCCATTCCCGGCCAACCATCACCGATTTAGAAACCGGCATTTCAACAAAGCAGCACAACAGTAAAAATTGACATTTTATAACAATAACTTATCTTTTGAGAGTTCAATACACGCCGATTTGAGGAGAGGCTCCTTTCATACTGTATATGAGCCAAAATATGTTTATTCCCTGTATAACGCCGTTTTGAGAACAGGGGCAACACTATTTTGGCAGAATTTTGAAGGGAGTTTGGTGTTGCCTCCAGGCTCCATGCTAGATGTGACTGACGTTTTATCCAGCATTTTCATGAATGCTTCCCAGTAACTTTAGTACCATAAAATGAACATGTTTATAATTTAACCACACGAAACACTAAGTTACAAAATGTCTGTTTACATAATACAGTCACCACAACAACCAGTTTGACCATTAACGCTATTCGCCTAACGTTAGGTTATGGGCAAGAATAATTAACGTTACCTGTAATATTAGCAAGCCGTTTGGAGGATTGGAAATACCATCTGGCAATACAGCTGGTACTTAAACTATTAACAAACAGTGATGTAGTTAATTTAGCTTAACGATAACAGGCAAGTTAAGTAAGACCTCGTGTAACGTTAAATCATTTAACTTAAGTTACATTAGTCAAAGTGCACACAAAGAATACACACGTTACCAAATATAACGTTAAAGTTCCGCGTTGTGTCTCATTTAAGCAGTCGCTTATATTTTCATAGCTGTGAACGCTAACTTACATAATGTTGCTAATGTTACTAAGTTATAACGTTAACTACAATTTGGATGTTAAGCTAACGTTAACTCATTAAAATGCATATCAGCATAAATATACAACTTAGGTAACGTTACACTCCACCACATTAACGATACTATAAAAATGTCCCAATTACTACTGATGTAACGTTATTAATTATCCATTATTGTGCAGGAGACTGAACTTTTGGCAGTACAGACATGAGCTGCGTCCAGACTACGTTGACGTTACACTTGCAGACATGTGGAAGCAACCGTTAGCATTTAGCATTAGCGACTTCATTGTGTTGGCTTCACCTACGGAAAACGCCTCCGACACTTTAAAGCAAGGTTCTCCATCTTTAAACAGGTAACGTTAATAAAGTGTTTTAAACTACGTAGCTTCTTAGCCAGCGTGAACTCCCAACACATTTTCCTAGACAGAATAATAACGTTACCATTAGCTAGCTAACTACCTTATTGAGCTGATGCCCACGTTGAGTAAAGGGAAGCAACTTTCCAGCTGTGATGCTACACAGAAATCAGGCTAAAAAAAAGCGATAGTAGGCACAACGATTCCTTCTACCTCGATGAAAAAAATGGTCTTCCGTGGCTCCAAGATGTGAGAGTCAGGGAAACAGTAAAGTCAATCAGAAGTGCTCGCCTGTCGCAGCAGACAGACCCAATGCGTGTTGGTGTTATGTACTAGCAGCGCCACATCCCCTCTCATCACAGAGGCGTGTTTAACCCTCTGCGTTTTGCAACTGTGAAATCAGCACCAATAGTGGAACGAAAGGGTTGCAACAAGAGGGATTCGCGTTCATGGGCCATGCTTGGACATAAATACTCTAATTACTCTTACTCCACTTTGATTCTAAATAATTTTAGCGTTGGTAGTTTTGAAAGCTGCTTCGGCAGAGATGAAAGGTCACTGTACTGTACTTAGGTAACAGTTTTGAGGTAGACTACTTTACTCGATTCCTTACATAATACTTCTTTATCCCTAAACTACATTTCAAAATGGAAATATTGTGCTTTCACTCCACTACACATATTAAGTTTCAATTATGTATTTTCCATATTAAGATTTTCCATTCTCAAAGCCCCTAAGGGGACATGGGCAAAATAAAAATAAAAAATTCTCTTGAGCACCAGAAAGTATCTTGAGGAACTATCCCATACCATGGCCATACGCTGTCAGGGATTACCAATCAACCCTGTACATTGACCTAACTCTGACAAACATATGTTTAGCAAACAACATGAGGATGTATTACAATAAACACATCAATAAACTAGTGACTAAATGAAAAGATAAACTGAAACTGCCAAAGCAGAGTGATAAAGGAAGAACTCAGATCCTTTACTTTAGTCAGATCAGCAAAGCCTCAGTCCAAACAAAAGTACTCCATCACAAGTAAAAGTCTTGTATTCAAAATGTTACTTGAGTAAAAGTACCTTACTATTATCAACAGAATGTACTTAAAATATCTGAAGTACTCATTATGCAGCAATATGGCCCTTCTCAGTGTTGTGTTATTTATTATAATACTGGATCACTATTATAGTTTAACATATGAGCAGTATTTTAATGTGGCTGTTGGGTAAATATGTGACAAAGCGAATCCCTCTTGTTGCAACCCTTTCGTTCCACTATTGGTGCTGATTTCACAGTTGCAAAACGCAGAGGGTTAAACACGCCTCTGTGATGAGAGGGGATGTGGCGCTGCTAGTACATAACACCAACACGCATTGGGTCTGTCTGCTGCGACAGGCGAGCACTTCTGATTGACTTTACTGTTTCCCTGACTCTCACATCTTGGAGCCACGGAAGACCATCTCTTGCACACCAGATAGTTTCTTCTGAGCACCAGATACTTTATAAAGTAATATGCTTTGTCACATATTTACCCAACAGCCACATTAAAATACTGCTCATATGTTAAACTATAATAGTGATCCAGTATTATAATAAATAACACAACACTGAGAGGGGCCATATTGCTGCATAATGAGTACTTCAGATATTTTAAGTACATTCTGTTGATAATAGTAAGGTACTTTTACTCAAGTAACATTTTGAATACAAGACTTTTACTTGTGATGGAGTACTTTTGTTTGGACTGAGGCTTTGCTGATCTGACTAAAGTAAAGGATCTGAGTTCTTCCTTTATCACTCTGCTTTGGCAGTTTCAGTTTATCTTTTCATTTAGTCACTAGTTTATTGATGTGTTTATTGTAATACATCCTCATGTTGTTTGCTAAACATATGTTTGTCAGAGTTAGGTCAATGTACAGGGTTGATTGGTAATCCCTGACAGCGTATGGCCATGAATTTTAACACTTTGAAATAGGAAATCATGTGACTAAGCAGCTTGCTCAGACCTATTGTCAAATGCACGTGTGCATCGATCGCCTTCCCAAAATCAAAACTTTTACGCCTTAATTTTCCTTAACTTGGACTGCACTGTCAATTATGGTCACATGTAAATCATGTAAACTGGATTAAGTGTGAAAAGCCAGCACCAACCACATTTTATTCACATAACAGTTGTAAGAGGTGTGCTGAAAAGCCACATGTAACATACTGTAGCTCAGGCTGCATGTGCCCTCTTAAGTAAAATACTTTTCACATATCATTCCTTATTCTTATGTTAAGGAACACAAAATCTTGATGTTGATCAAATTCACTCTCTTTTTTAGTTCCAATACCGACTTCTGTTCCACTACACACTTTATAATGCTCCAGTCCCCCTTACAGTAATAGATCAGCTTTGTCTCGTCTAGTTTCAGTTACTGTGTTGTGTTGTATGGTGTCTTGTCTTGTAAGTTGAATTATTGTGACTTTCTTTTTAGCACCCTGGGCCATGAGAAACGGCATTTGAGGAGGACTTGCCTCATAAATTGTGCATCCTAGTATTATAGCTATTTCAAGCGTTGTGTAGGAAACAAAAGCAAGTTCAACTGTATAGGAGAAAGATCTATTTTAGCCACCAATGAGAATGACATGGGTTAAAATGAGAACCTATGTTTTAAAGCCTATTTAATTATTGTGAAATCTAATGGGTAACGTTTTATTAATTGAGCAGTGGTATTTTAAGAATACATGTAAAAAGCATTACCAATAACATAAAACCGCACATACAGACTTTCCAGCATGCAGCGCACACACATGCATGTTCACATCACTTGACAGAATGTCAGCATGCTGCTATTGTCATCGAGCTGTCCGCATTATAAATTGTTGGCATGAGATGCTGACAGAAAATCACTGTTTTGCCGTATCGGCTGCTAAAAAAGGAGAGACATCATTAGTCTCACATTTAAGACTTTAACTACACCAAAAGCTATTTTTACTATTTTTGTATTTATTATAGTTATCCAAGTCCAGCAGTCTGTCTTCATCTGTGTGCAGTTACCTTAAACAATCTTGCAATTTGATACACAGCCCATGCAGAAGCAGGCAAATGTGTTGCTAATATTGTGTAGGATTTGTGATAGTGCTGCTAAAGATGGCATCATATGTCATCATTTCTTCTAGCAGAGATGTTTTACTGACTTTACATATCAGGTACTGAATACAATAGAGAACCACATGGTCTTCCCTGTAACCCAAATGCTTCACAGTCCTCTCTTGTTCTATATTAATCTTAGGTTGTTAGATATGTCTGCAAAGGTGACTCAGGGGGATGTGTTTCCCACTCTGTGTTTGTGTCAAATTAAATGTGGGTCATTGCAGATATGGGTCAGTGGTTCCTTTATGCACTGTAGCTATTCTGAGCAGTTGATTCAGCCTTGTTTATCCTCCCCCTGCAGCATGCTGCTCACTCCTGCCTTGATGTTGTGTCGCAGAACTGTCACAAGAGACAGAAGGGCCATGTTAAAAATAGGAACTGTTAACTAGCAATTGTTTGTTGTTTTAGTATCTGCTCATAATCCAAACACATTATCCACAGGGCCTTCAAACAACTCAAAAATGAAGTGTATCATCCAAAGCAAGGGATTCAACTTCAAGGGCATTTGCAAACTGATCTAAATACAAGTGTGTGTGGACATGTAAACTGACCCGACTGCATGAAGTTAATTTACATATGCAACCTTATGAAGGCACAACCGGGGAGAGTAAAGCCCGAAAGCTAGAGGACTGACATCACATTGTAATTTTATTTCACATTGAATATTGACAATGAGGGTTGAAATTATTGTGGCATTCTTCTATTTCTGCAGAGTCCATTAAATGTCTTGCTTTTGCACTTGAGCATGTCTCTTTAAAATCAAACACAATCCTCTATCTTTCAATCTTGGAAAAGGTTTTTGACCTTTTATTCAACATTTCTGCAGAACTCTCGCACAGAAATTAATTCTACTGGAGGCAAATGTGCAATAACATTCTGTGAAGATAAAACAAATGGATGTATTTTAATCTAAACACTGCTTGAGTTATACCTAAAGGTGGCTTATTCTCCATATACTTTTCCAGTAACTCACCTCTCTGGGCCTAGACCGGCCTGGATGCGTGTGGCGCTGTATCGCTGGGCTGCAGTTTCATGGCCATGGGAGGTTTGTCGGACATAATGTTCACCTTCCCGGGATGAAACATTGGTATGTGGGAGCTGAGTGTCTCCCACAATTCTCCGATAATCCACCTGTGGGCTCTTCCTCGCTCCATCTGCACCAAAGTGCTCATAACCATATCCCTCCATCGTCCGTCAAAGGGGAGTCTCTGAATTCACTAGCCCTTTAGCCTTCCTTTCCAGCTTTAAACTTTAAGTCAGTGAAAATATCCAACAGCTGAAAGTTGGGTCAAAACTTAATTTGTTTCTAAATATTCTTATCTGAATTCCAGTGTCTGCTCTATTTACTCTGCTGCTGTCTTCCAGACTGGATATAGAGGTGCAAAGTTGTTCCCATAGAGAGAAAAAAAAAAAAAAGACCTGTGTCAGGCAACTCCGTATGCCTCTGCACAGGATGCACCTGCCTACAAAAAGGCACCAGCCACCTCTAGGCGTGTCAATAGAGGGCGTCACCTAGGAGATTCTCCCACTGAGAGGGTGTTGCTGTGGAAATGATGCCAGTAGCAGGGCGTTGTTGTGGAGAGGCTGTTGTCGATGTCTTTGAAATATTGGATGAGATTTTCTGTCATGAAGGCAGAGGGTTGTGGAAAGGGTAGGTGAGCGCTGTACAGCCCTTTTAAGTACTTACATATGGGATAAAGCAGTTATTGCCCTGAGCATTTTCTACAACCTGAATGGAGTGAGTGGTATTGTCCTGCTGAGTGCTCCATGAAGCTCTCTCTGTATCTTGCTGCCTCTCCTCGATGGTTTAATCCTGCTTTCTATCAGTGGCACTTTTGCAAAGAGGATTTCAGAATTAGAACGAGCAGGACTAGAGACGAGCTTTACAAAGAGAGCAACATGTTTTGACAGTCCAAACAGCAAGATCATCTCTGTGGTGTTATTTTTATTTGTCTCACTGGGATCTTCTAAAACCAAATACATACAGCAAACATAGTATTTCTGGAAACATTTGGCGCAAAGAGACTGTCTTCTACAAGTGCAGACTTGACAAAGTTAACTCCTCACACTAGGATCTGCGGGTGTGAATTTGTATTTCTTCTTATGCTATGTGTAGGCCACACATAAAACTTCAGTTTCTAATCTATAGGTAAGTAAAACTGGGGCTAAACAAAACAAGTTTGCATGAAAATAAGCTCTGGCGGAACCACTCCACTTCCTGAAAAAAGTCAGAGGCCAAGGTTAGACCCTATGTCTAACACAACATGTACCTTAACGCTGCGTGTGAGTGTGACATAATCACGCTAAATGATTTTTCTAAGCATTTTGTTTTCTAAAGAATATCCCTTATGATCTGCACCATATTCTTACAAACAGCTCCATTCCTTTCACAAGCCAAACTGGTTCTTTTTGACATCAGAAAAGTGTGAACTTGGGCCTTTAGCGGGATGTGCATGTGGTATGTAATGTGGGGAATGTGTCAACTCATCCATTGTTTTTTGGTTTTGTGTGAAACTTTCGGACATTTTAGCCAGTGGAAAGGATTCCCCTCCACACATACACATATACACCAGGGGGGCCGTCACTCTTCTCAAAGGGATCACCTCCAGGTGGCTTGACTGTTTGTGACAGTTGGTGAGACGTTAAGATGGAAAATCCTCTTAGCCTGTCCTCTGAGGCTCTAGTAAGTCCCCCACTTAAACTCACATTCATTGCTAACACATGGTAATGGAAACCCCTCACCCACACAATGAAGATAACAAATGAGGAAACTGAGTTTTAGTAAGTGTATATACAGTGGGTACGGAAAGTATTCAGACCCCTTTAAATTTTTCACTCTTTGTTTCATTGCAGCCATTTTCCAAAAATCAAAAAAGTTCATTTTATTTCTCAGTAATGTACACTCAGCACCCCATCTTGACAGAAAAAAACAGAAATGTAGAAATTTTTGCAAATTTATTAAAAAAGAAAAACTGAAATATCACATGGTCATAAGTATTCAGACCCTTTGCCGTGACACTCATATTTAACTCAGGTGCTGTCTGTTTCTTCTGATCATCCTTGAGATGGTTCTACACCTTCATTTGAGTCCAGCTGTGTTTGATTATACTGATTGGACCTGATTAGGAAAGCCACACACCTGTCTATATAAGACCTTACAGCTCACAGTGCATGTCAGAGCAAATGAGAATCATGAGGTCAAAGGAACTGCCTGAAGAGCTCAGAGACAGAATTGTGGCAAGGCACAGATCTGGCCAAGGTTACAAAAACATTTCTGCTGCACTTAAGGTTCCTAAGAGCACAGTGGCCTCCATAATCCTCAAATGGAAGACGTTTGGGACGACCAGAACCCTTCCTAGAGCTGGCCGTCCGGCCAAACTGAGCTATCGGGGGAGAAGAGCCTTGGTGAGAGAGGTAAAGAAGAACCCAAAGGTCACTGTGGCTGAGCTCCAGAGATGCAGTCGGGAGATGGGAGAAAGTTGTAGTAAGTCAACCATCACTGCAGCAGTCCACCAGTCGGGGCTTTATGGCAGAGTGGCCCGACGGAAGCCTCTCCTCAGTGCAAGACACATGAAAGCCCGCATGGAGTTTGCTAAAAAACACCTGAAGGACTCCAAGATGGTGATAAATAAGATCCTCTGGTCTGATGAGACCAAGATAGAACTTTTTGGCCTTAATTCTAAGCGGTATGTGTGGAGAAAACCAGGCACTGCTCATCACCTGTCCAATACAGTCTCAACAGTGAAGCATGGTGGTGGCAGCATCATGCTGTGGGGGTGTTTTTCAGCTGCAGGGACAGGACGACTGGTTGCAATCGAGGGAAAGATGAATGCGGCCAAGTACAGGGATATCCTGGACGAAAACCTTTTCCAGAGTGCTCTGGACCTCAGACTGGGCCGAAGGTTTACCTTCCAACAAGACAATGACCCTAAGCGCACCGCTAAAATAACGAAGGAGTGGCTTCACAACAACTCCGTGGCTGTTCTTGAATGGCCCAGCCAGAGCCCTGACTTAAACCCAATTGAGCATCTCTGGAGAGACCTGAAAATGGCTGTCCACCAACGTTTACCATCCAACCTGACAGAACTGGAGAGGATCTGCAAGGAGGAATGGCAGAGGATCCCCAAATCCAGATGTGAAAAACTTGTTGCATCTTTCCCAAAACGACTCATGGCTGTATTAGATCAAAAGGGTGCTTCTACTAAATACTGAGCAAAGGGTCTGAATACTTATGACCATGTGATATTTCAGTTTTTCTTTTTTAATAAATTTGCAAAAATTTCTACATTTCTGTTTTTTTTCTGTCAAGATGGGGTGCTGAGTGTACATTACTGAGAAATAAAATGAACTTTTTTGATTTTTGGAAAATGGCTGCAATGAAACAAAGAGTGAAAAATTTAAAGGGGTCTGAATACTTTCCGTACCCACTGTACATCTGATCTGAATGTATTGGTGAGATGAATGTAGACCACTGATGCTGTAGTACCTTAAAATCATGTAATCTATGGCATTAAAGGGTTAGTGTCTCCTGCAAAAGTGATGGGAGGACTCCACTCTTAATTTCACATGTGCATGTCCTCAGGTTTTGCATGGTCCCTCATCTAATTCAATTACATTTGTCATAATGAATGTCATGTGCAGTGAGTGTGGCTACTCATTGACTGGCTGAGACAAATCAGAGTCATGAGATTCAACACAAGGGTAACCATTCCTAACAGAAGAACATTTATCAGGTAATCTGAATCTACCATAGAGTTGTAATTCATTCCACATCACACTACTTTGATACAGTGCAGGCCTCCATTTCTATCATTTGATGTTTTTAAAAGACAGGTATAATGTCCTCCTTTAAGTAACAGTTAATCAGATTTCAAGTTTTTATTTTACTGTAATTTCTACAGTCATTTTTAGATAGGCGTCATCTCTTTTTATTAATTGTTTTCATATAAGTAGAAAAAGGACAGTGAATAAGAACCATGATAATGTGCACCATTTCAAGTCATTTATTTTATGTATATTCCAAAATCAAAATTTTTTGTCAGAGCTTTTCAATATGCAACACCTTACAACACCATCCACAAAGAATTCCACAAAAAAAACTTTAACACAGTGCTATACGAAAAGAAGCAACCTCGGGAAATAGAGACACAATACTGAAGTCAAACTCCAATTTTACACATCAATTTCAATTTACTAGTCATTGGGAGTACTACATAGCCTGTCAAATATGTTGGTTAATGTGGTTGTGGTAAGTGCTTTCTAAAGTCAGAGAAAGTAAAAGTCTGAGTTACAAACAAAAAACCCCAGGGCAAATTTGGAGTTGGGCCACCACCACCTGTCACATACTTACTCACCATTAGGTAAGTAAGTGAAGTTTTTTTATTATAGCAACTTTGACAGAACAAATTTGGAGTTGGGCCACCACCACCTGTCACATACTTACTCACCATTAGGTAAGTAAGTGAAGTTTTTTTATTATAGCAACTTTGACAGAACAAATTTGGAGTTGGGCCACCACCACCTGTCACATACTTACTCACCATTAGGTAAGTAAGTGAGTTTTTTTATTATAGCAACTTTGACAGAACAAAGTGCTTTACAAGCAGTACATGTACATGCTTTACAAGCACTTTGGCTGTGGCTCAGGAGGTAGAGCGGGTTGGCCGTTAATCGGAAGGTCGGCGGTTTGATCCCTGGCGTGTCTAAGTGTCCTTGGGCAAGATACTGAACCCCGATGAATGTGTGAATGTTAGTTGAAGACCTAAGTGGCCTAGTGGTGATTTCCGGGAGAAGCTTATCGGAAATATACCCAGGTGCCTGACCATGCTCTATATGTGAAAACAAGCACCTTAACTGAACCTGAGAGGGAGCCAATGTCACGGGATGGGTGTGATGTGACTTGTCCTGCTAGACCTGGTTAACAGACTTGCAGCAGCATTCTGGTCCATTTGTAGACTGTATGGTTAGGTATGATTAAATGATTTATTGAGTAACGAACAGAAGATGTATGAAGCTTGCAGTAGCTTAGCAGACATTAGAAAGCGTTGTGGGGAAGCTATGATAGGGAAATCCGCCGTAGCACCCGGGCACGACGGACCCCCTATAAACCTATGGAGAGGAGGAAGGAGACCAGGAGGCAGGACAGAGAAAGGGGTGGGGGAGGGATGCAGGATACGAGGGCGAAGGGGAGGACTTAGGACGTGTGGGTATTTATGGAAATGCTGGTGATGACGTGCTTGATGTGTGGTCCCGCTCCTGAAACTCTGCTAATTAGCACCACTAAATGAAAGAATGGGTCAAAGATTTGATATATTAATCAAAGTAAATAGATTGTTCAAACATAACACCAAGATTCCTGAGGTTTGACGTTACAGTTGATGAAAGTGACCCAATACGCTGAGGGATCATGGGAGCTATGGTGTCAAAAGCATTAATAAGGACCTGAGTCTTGTCTGTGTGAAGTTGTAAAATGTTGTCATTTTACAGTTGTTATCAAAGCCATTCAGTTCTTTATGGCAGTCAGTCATGTTGAGTGCAGTCAACTTGTTATTATTACAAGGCTTAAAGGAGATATATAGCTGGGTATCATCATTGATAAGAAACACCTTTATATTTGGTAATGATGTCTAATTAGCAGCAAAACACAACACAGGTTTCCGATTATGAAAAACAAACTGAAGCAGAACTGAGTGACCATAACTGACCTCAGAATGACCAACAGTAGGCCTATGCCGGCTGGACAAACTATGTAATAAACACAAGGGGTGAATAAAACAAACAAACAAACAAACAAAGTAATTAGAGTGAAACTTAAACATAGCAGCAAATGCTAATAAAACTATATGCTCAATCAAATTTTGTTGGTTGTTTAGTTTTTGTTTAGTGACTGAAACTGAATGTAAAGTTGAGTGAAAAGGTCAAATTAAAGTGACAGCCTGGCTGAGTGGAAAAGATGTTTTAGACCGCTGACGTGGCAGTGGGTGTGGTGCAGCATGTCTTACTAAGATATCAACCTTTTTCACAGGGGACATTTAGACTTGTCAAAGCATATGCATTTTAATGTCCCAGTAAGCTATGACAGTATGCAAGTGTGCGCAAAACCTGGGCTTTCAAAGTGGAATGCGGCGAATTATTAATAATTACACCTCTCATTTTACTGCTGTTAAAAACAGATTTTATACAAGATGCATTTTAGGTAATGTGCATTTTAAGCATGTGAAAACAATAAGATTAACGATGGCTAAATTATATCAATCTGCTTCAGTTTCAGGGTCCTGGTATTGCATGTTAGCTCATTAATGTTATTGGTTAACACCTGTGCCTTTCCTGTATTACAAGTCTGTTAACAATGTTATATTATTAATATATTGCAATATAAAATAATTTCTGATGCCCAGGTGTTCAGTGTGTTTAATTTTACCACTTACTGAAATGTAGAAATGCAAGACTGCTCTCCAACGCCATGTGAGACTGTTCTTAACTGTCACACACTGACATCTTGTGGATGCAATGTTTTGTTGCACGAAACACCATTATAATTTCCTGATGCCTTTGAGGGCTGCTTTCTTACTGTTCTTCACTGCCATGTATCTATCAACTCTATTCTTGCAGGAAGGAAATCAGTATCTGTCTCCAGTCCATGGATAGCATGTATGAGATAATAAAAGTCATTACTACATTAATTGTATTGTGTTATTTTTTCATTCTGAGTCAGTCATTTACAGTAAATAAATGTAAATGTAAACCATGCTGTGATCATTACTTCACTTTTGATGATGACCAGACAACAATTGGATGGAGTGTTTCCTCTGATTCACTGAGTCTTGTGCTTTCTCCTTGCCTCATTATTGTTTGCTTATCTCTTACTGGCTCTGCCAAACTTTCAGTGTTCTGTAGTATTTTTCAGAGTCAGTTCTTTCAAGTCCAGGCAGTAATAGAAACACAAAAGGAATTTAATACATGTGTAGATGAGTAATCTATTGGCGGCCAGTCAGTTGTTGCTGTGGGAGAAAAAATTGGCCGTTATTGAAGAATCCCAGACTCTAAAAGCTGGTTACGCAAATCCATTCTTTTTTTAAACCTCATTAAATCATAAGACATGGTTCTCTGGAAAGGAATTATCACACTCAAGCACAATGGGAGTTGTTTGTGAACTCATTTCCAACTATGCTGGCTTGTGTGAGTAAATATGTTTCAGCATGCTTAACCTTTTTGATTCATACCTCATATCAAATGTTTGGTGTTGACTTAAGAGTTCCTTCCAGTGAACTGTAGCCTACTAGTGGCTCTCTGTTTCCTCAAAGACTGTGCCATACCTCAGGGGAAGTGAAATCATGACTGTTAGGCTACATGAAAAAGATGTATCAGCACTGCTATTTTGTTCTGCTCATTCTTCTGAATGGGGACTTTTCCAGAGTGAAAGTCTGGAATCTCCGCTCTGGTACATTAATAAGCTGGAAATCCCTGCTGTTTATTTATATATTTATCTCTGGCAAAAGACAACAGGTCTTCTAACAAGTTTATAAAGTGTTGGGAACTGGACTGAGTGAGCCCATCAAGGTATGTGTGGTGAAATGCAATATGAATAATGCATTACCCCTTATTCATGTGGGAGTTTTGAGTCAGTGAGAACATACTGTACATCAAACACATTGCAACAGTCAACGATTTACTTTAGTCTCTACATGTCAATCAAACTGTTAAAAAGCCTCCCTTTTTTATGGCCATATAAATAAAGAAGTGAAACTGAGATACAATCTCGCTCCTAATCCTCTTGGTTGATTGTGAAAACAAGATTTTCCAGTATAGTCAGATATGGTATTTCTATCATGAGATAACTTGCCCTAAGTCTCTAAAACACTAAAAACTAACTGTTAACTGAACAAAATAACAATCAGTTAAAGAAGCAATTAAAACACTAAACCCACAATACACAACTTAAAACAGCTCCCACTTTGGTCCAGACTAAAATACTAAATACTGAACTATTACTGTTGGATGGAATGTTCACTGTCCCAAGATGATGACATGGGAAATGCCCTGACTTTCCCTCTGTAGTGCCACCATGAGGTTGACATTTGCAATTTTAGGTGAAATTTTTCCACAACCATTGGACAGTCATGAATTATGGTTCAGACATTCATGTTCCTTGCAGGATGAATTAAGCATTGCACTCCTAGCATTGTTGGACTAAAAAAAAAAAGCAGAGATATCGTGCTACTTCCTTGATCAAAACCCACAAAAATACATTACCCACAATGCAACTCGACCGCCGAGAGTTCTGTCAGAGATGCGGGTGTGTTATATTAGTAGTGGCTTATGCAGATGCAAGCCACTAGCATCAAGGAGTGGTCGAAGAGTAAAAGCTCACTTATTTTTATTTCCTCACCTCCCGATTTTTATTTCATTTTCAAACTTGTAGTTCTTAGACTCATGAGGGGATTTACCAGACTTTGTGCAGCTCCCCCAGGAGTCACAAGTCTTTATGCAACTTTGTAAATATTTAAAAATTTTTTTTTACATAGGCCTATTTAATAGGCTAGTAATTCCTAAGACCTGTAAACAGACTGTGATGTGCAACATCGGCCCCTTTAACGTTTCATCAAGTTCCACTTTGTGTTTACTGGTAGTTCCAATTTGCCAATGTTAGTATGCTACTATGCTGAACTAAATATGGAAACATTTCATTATGTTAGCATTAGCTCAAAGCACTGTTGTGTAGCCTCACATAACAACTAGCATGGCAGCACTCAGGTCATTTTCTTGGTAATTAGCAGCCTGATGTGCATTTAAATTGTACAATAAAATAAAACTAATCAACTTTAAAATTGACTTATTTTAGGCCAAATAAATAGATAAATATTCAATATTTCTGTATGTAAGTATGATGGCTTGGAAACACACTTCTGGGGAATAAAATCTACAGGAAATACTTGACACAGGTGTTATAGGCTAAATAACACCAGTGTAATCCTGGATAGTCCCAGGACAGCATTTCCAGCTGTGCGGTGTACTCATTTTAGTGTAGTAGTAAACAACAACAACAACAACAACAACAGAGCACAGACTAAGCACTTATTTCTGACTGAATAAAAGGATGAAACCATATATTTATTTGAGTATAAACTAAGCATATAACAACCCTGGGGGAATCCCTGAAATCTACTCAGGTCGTTTTATTTGAAGATTCAGGAAATAGTGTGGCTGCTGAGCGTGATGTCACTGTTACGCATTATACTTTTGCTTCATCAGGGTGGCTTGATGTTCAGTTCACAGCAGCAGCTTGGGGAGAGAGGCTGACAGAGAGCAGCCGCCGTGTGAATTCAGTTTCAGTGTAATGAAGAGTGTCTAAGAGCGTATAGAAGAGAAAACCCGTCTGCAACACCTGATCGGAAAACATCTGCGGATTTCTCTGGGGCTGTTTGTTTTTGGAAACGACTTGAGCCTACACAACCAGGAGAGCGAAAGCCGAGCCTGTGGTAAGTTACTGTACCAACTACGAAATAATGTGACCGTGTTTCTATAGCCTACTGATGGCTGAAGAACAGCATGTCGAGATTCGAACTGTGTGGTCTCTTATTTCATCGTTGGCGACGCCATGTGCTCTAAAACCGTTTTCTTAGAGACATGCATTTCAGTTTCAAGTCGATTTCGTCAACACGGTTCACAACGTAGACACCAAAATTACAAATGATTGTTGTGACAAATGCGGTGTTCATTGGCTGTTGGAAGAGTAATAGATTCCTAGACGTTTAAAAGCAAAATGAAAGTAGGAACAATAGGAGTCATATGCATGAAGGTCCGTTTTCAACAGGCTGTAAATTCACCAAATAGGTTCTTCCTGTTGATGTGGGCTGTAACTGTAGCTTCCTTGCTGATTTCTGTTTTTCGTTTTGTGCATACATATGTGATTTCTACTTAATCCTCTACCACTTACTGTACGAAAATGTATTATGTGATGCACAAATTCATTTCAAAGTCTACTGTGGTATGGATGTTTGAAGTTGTCCAACAATATTGACCAGATGTCTTTTGGCACAGATGACTACCTACTTGTAAAATTGTTAATATCTACTTATCTGTCTGTTTGGAGTTAAAAACTTGCAAATGGCTCCAAAAGTCACCATAAATCTATATTAACAAATACCATAATGCACCTAATAAGTTGGTTGCCAAACACTGTTAAAAACCCCAAAAGAACAACTTTAAAATGTGTGTTTTGTTTTTTGCAGCCAAACTGTCCTTTGCCACTGGAGCCATGGTGGCAGCCGTCCTTAAGATGTATTTTATTGGGACGGCGCTGAGTGTCCTCGCAGTCTTGTATGGAATAGTGGACTCCTTTGGTGGTCTGATGTATGTCCAGAACCAGCACTACATTTCTGAGCTGGACCACCAGACACAGAGACAGGACTCCTCAAGGACCCGTCGGAGTGCATCATCTCTGACTAAAAATATCGGTTCATAAGAGAAACATCTTGGTCACAACAGATCAAAAAGGCTGCTGGATGGATATACAGAATACTGTGGCAATGGATCAACAGACTTGAGAATCACTGGAGATAGTAAATGTACTGGTTCCATTACTGACGTCATTGTAGTGTCTAACTTATTGGACATGCTTTGCACTTTGAAAAAGCTTTGCACTAGAAGGTTATTTGATTTGGAGGCAGAATCTCACACCAAGTCCTCTGTAACAAATACTGTTGCAGCTAGTCTGCATACAAAAGGCAACTACAAATCTGACAACAAATGTAACCGCACTACTGAACAATGATTTGCACTAGAAATGAGGATAGTTTCTTTTTTATTTGTCTATATCTGTATTTTGAGGAGGGTTTTTTTGTTTTTCTTTTTTTTTAAATAAAATAATTAAACCAAAGTGTTGAGTACAAGTGTACTGCAGCCTCTTTTAAGAAACAGAAATCAGTCACATAAGCTGCCTGTTTACTGGAAAGTAGAAGGAAGTCAGGCTGGCCCACAAGCATCAAATATAGTGGAAAATGTACAATAAAAACTAAACTAAAACCATTTCAGCAGGGACTTGATAGGTTGACACCAGAAAGCCTTGTATTCTTGCCAAAGGGCTATGCCATCGCTGTACAGAAAGTACAAAAAAAAAACACAAATAACTGACTGATATCACATGCAATGGCTCAGAGGGATTTACAATCTCATAAGAGCAACAGGTCCCAACACAGCCTTTGCTGAAGCAATTCAAAGACAGAGCCTTCCCTCTTCAAATGGCCTGGCTGACTGAGCAATATGAGCTGCATAGATACAGTCAACTTGTGTCCTTCTGGTGTATGACTAAGTAAAAATGAATTGAATGATTATATGGAATGTGAAAGGGATTACTTAAAGTGATGAAGCACCACAGGAAGTTATCAGTGACGTCTGCTCTGCAGCAAGATAGCGTCTTTGCTCATTAGTGTTTCAGTGTCATTGCTCCCGTCAGACCAAGATATTTTTTTTTCCTGAGTTAGTGAAGATAAAAAATGAACAAAAGGAAGTGAGTACTGCGAGTACAAAATGATTAGATAGAAGTGTGTACATGTGGTAACATATCTTTAAAAGTATCTGCTTGCTGAATTGTCTGAATCATCATGATCACTTAGTGACTCAGTAGGTTGAAGCAGTGCAGCTGCCCTTTTCTGGTAACTGAAAGCACCACTGTAAACTCAGCCAAGATGTACAATAAGTCCTCGTTACAAGCTTGCTAAAAGACTGACTGAAATGATGATGTACTGAACATAACTGGAACAGCTAGTGTTTGTGCTAATTTACCTTTTGAACAGTCAAACAATCACTTAGCTTAGATAGAAATTGAGGAAACTGCATTGTCAGTGACTTTTGTCATTTCATGGCCAGAAATATGACCTAAACCATCCCAACTTTTTATTGCATGTTTTTTTTTTACAGCCCAAGACCTATGCTACACACTTCGACTCATCGATTCATTTGCTGTAAATGAATTATGATTTACTATACCTGTGTGTCTCCCCTTTTTGTCCCAGTGTTAGAGCCGAGCTGTGTTCAAAACAACACATAAGAGTTTTTCAATCTAAAACAGTGTTTATCAGCCCCTTCCAAATCTGTTACATATGAGCCCTAGAAAGATATTTCATATGACTCTTCATGGAAACTCTGGTACAAACTGAGGGTATTATAGGAAATGTAGGATTCAGCATTTTGCTGAGCTTGGCCCAGAGTGGGCACAACTCTGGCAATATCTTTGGGATTTAGCTTTGTAGGCTTGTTTTTGTGCCCTTAAGTTGCCAAAAAAAATATAACAGTTATGCTGCTATTGAAACCTTGGTGGACATGTTTTTTTGTCCTCTGTTCTCAAGTTTCCCTCTGCCCCAAGGGCGAGGAAATGTACCAGCTTGCTTTAAAGCTTTTTCACTATTAGGGGCTGCATAGTGGTACGATTTACATGTATGCACACCCACTCATCTACAGACAAGTCATCTGAGGTGAGTCATTCTATTTTATGTTTCGTTGGAAAGCCCCACATCAAGTTATCACAAAGTAGCTACTTGACTGATTTGACCGTCCTTTTCTAACCAGTAGGTTATATTCTTTTGTCTGTAATTGGATCTTGCGCAAACATCTGGATAAGATTAAAATTTAAAGGATGAACATGAGCTCAAGGACAAAGAAACTTTTTTTCCAGTTTAAAGGGTCAAAAATGTAAGTGTAAAGTAAGTCTTTGTTGCTCTGGTGTCCTCTTCCTCCTGCTCCATATAGATAATTTTTAATAGTTCCTTATTAGAGAGTTAATATCTCTTATACAACCTAGTTTTGTATTGTGGCACGGATGTCCAAACAACTGTTAAAGTATAAGAACTGAGTTTAAACATTTTCCATGAAAGTCAGATAAAGTTAACTGTCTGCTGGAATTACAGATCAGCCCACGGCAAAACAGCTGTGCGTTTTTGGTAAGGGGTGGATTCAAACGCACCTGTAGTACACTATGTTTTACTTTCAGTCACTGATCTGAAAGATATTTTAACTGTGCTACAGGAATAATAACCATAATAATGTCACGCTTAAAAGTGCTAAACCATGAGGAACTTTGTTGTTTGTTTGTTTGTTTAAAAGGGACAGTGCACATTAATGAACATAAGGACAATAGTAGTAAATAAAGGCCAGCCGTAAAGTGTGTGAACGTGCATGACGCATCGTGCACGTAAATACATTTTTGATTAATAAAAAAATTAATTCATCAAAAACAAATTCATCAAAAATGTATTACAATATATATAAAAAGATAATAAAAAAAATTAAATTGAATAAAAAATAAAAAATGAATTAATAACAACAAAAAAAAGATTGGGGTCATAGCAAGGTTGAACAACAAAGACATGGGGGTGTGAAAATGGGTGTGTGTATTAGGGCGTGTCCAGCCTCATCCTCTATTAGTGGTGGTGGGGGGTCGATCACCAAAAGGTGAAGACGGGTGTGAAAAGGGGGTTGTGTATATGGGATGTCCGGTGTTATCTTCTAAAAGCAGATATTGAGAGTGACTTTAGCAATCGGTTGTATATATATAGCGGGCTCGTTTTTTGACTTACATCTGACTGAGAACGTGGAATTACTCTGGGACGATGATAACTCATGGGTGGATGACTATGGAAAAGAACTGGGGAAAAGAAATTTAACATTTCTCGTTCCTGAAGAAAATACATAGTATTATACAGGTAACCATAGTTTATTATTTATACGATATACTGCAGAAAAAAGCTTTACAAACATGTGTGTATTGTGCATATACAGACAAATGGTGCAGAAAACAACCTCACACATGCATTGACACGCTACCCTTCTTTATATTAAAGGACATAAGAGAGAAATTACGGAGAAGCTTTTAACAAAATGTATGTACTACGTGGTCTTGGGTTGGTGCCAACGTGTGAATGCAGTATTCGAGACATTGCAGCAGCTGCTCTACAGATTTGGTTGAGGAACCCTTTTCTCATTGCTTCGCTTAAATGGGTAGTTAGAGTGGAGGACACTGTGAGCACAATAGTTAAGGAATCTCTGGACATCTGGAAGGGGGAACAACACTAAAAACAATGGGGAATGTGTCTAGTCTACTAAACCATGTCAAAAAGAGATACATCGTGTATAAGATGAGAACACTGTTGTGTGAAGCTGTTAACAATGCGATATGTGACACAGATAGGACACTATGTTGTTCTAGATTTGACAAACAGACAGAATATGTTAGACGAATGACCTCGGGATGGCGTACCATGGTGCAAATGACAGTGGATAAATATGCAGATGTGAAATGTTTTTTCCTGTGAACGATAATGATTTTCATACGGGTCATGTGTTTGTTTTTGTACTTTTAGCATTGATTTGTGTGTTTTAATGCTAACCAGAAAATGTCGATGTTGCTGATGTGATGTATTGCTTAACTGAATCTTTGGTTTGTAAAAACATAGGTGCTTGTACTGATTTTCTGAAAAGTGTATACTTGTAATCATTGCTGACGGATATGTTGTGTATGTCGCTGAAAATAAAATATTTGAACACAGACGTTGAAGCGTCAGTCTTTGTAACAAAGATCATGGAGGATAAGGAATATATTCAATTCAATTCAATTCAATTTTATTTATATAGCACCAAATCACAACAACAGTTATCTCACAGCGCTTTTCATAAAAGAGCAGGTCTAGACCGTACTCTATGATGATATTTACAGAAGCCCAACAGTTCCCAACAAGAGCAAGCACTAGGCGACAGAGGCAAGGAAAAACTTCCTTTTAAGAGGCAGAAACCTCGAGCAGAACCATGGCTCAGGGTGGGCGGCCATCTGCCTCGACCGGTTGGGGTGAAGGAGAGAGAGAGAGAGAGAGAGAGAGGGATGTAAGGAGAGAGAGAGGGGAGGGAGGCAGCCTACACAATATACACACAGAGGTACAGACAGTGAAGGTGATGTTGCTATAGACTAAATGAAAAATGGTACAGATATTTATAATAGTGTTAATGGTAACAGTTGTAATGTTAATGATTATAATAACAATAAGACTAGCAACAATAGTCGTTGCAGCAGAGGGTGTCGAGCAGGAACACGGGGGCAGCAGGTGACCGGCAAACCACAGATCCAGACTCCACAGCTCCAGAGCCAGAAAACCTGCAGGAAGTGATAGGAGGAGAGAGGAGAGAGACGAGAAAGCACAAGACTACCAGAAAGGGGAGAAGTTGTGTTAGTAACATGCAATAATGGGAGGAGGTTGCATACAGAGGGAGAGAAAGTAGAGGAGAGAGGAGCTCAGTGCATCATGGGAAATCCCCCGGCAGTCTAGGCCTATAGCAGCATAACTAAGGGATGGTTCAGGACTAACCTGAGCCAGCCCTAACTATAAGCTTTATCAAAGAGGAGAGTCTTAAGCCTACTCTTAAATGTGGAGATGGTGTCTGCCTCCTGAACCCAAACTGGAACCTGGTTCCACAGGAGAGGAGCTTGATAGCTGAACGCTCTGGCTCCTAGTCTACTTTTGGAGACTCTAGGAACCACAAGTAACCCTGCATTCTGGGAGCGCAGTGCTCTGGTGGAATGATTTTAAATTCTATTCTGGATTTTACTGGAAGCCAATGCAAAGAAGCTAAAACAGGAGAAATGTGATCTCTTTTCCTGGTTCCTGTCAGAACACGTGCTGCAGCATTCTGGATCAGCTGAAGAGTCTTAATGGACTCTATGCAACAGAAAATGTGGGGGCTTACGGAGGCAAGCAAAA